GAAAAAAAAAAATTAAAAAAAAAAAAAAGACTACAAAATACCTAGCAGGAGTCATAAGATGTACACACTCCTTGATTTACTAATTCAACTCCTTGATATTTACTCTCAAAAAAAAGGTCTTAGAATATATACACCCACTTATATGTATATGTGTGTGTGTATACATACAAAGATACATATTATAGCATTACATATAAAAACTTTTGAAACAACCTAATGTCCTACTATAGGGAACAGGTATATCATAGTACAGCACAATGTAATATTTTGTACCAATTTTTAAAAATTTGATTATGAAGACTGCAGTACTTAGAAAAGTGTCAAATGAAAACATCAAGTTACAAATGATTTGTGCTATATGACTGCAACCAAATCTTTAAGAATTATGGAAGGAGGGGCACCTGGGTGCCTCAGTTAAGCATCCAGCTCTTGATTTGGCTCAGGTCATGATCTCTCAGTTGGTTAAGCGTCTGACTTCTACTCAGGTTATGATCTCGCGGTTTGTGAGTTCAAGCCCTGCATCAGGCTCTCTGGTCAGCAAAGAGCCAGCTTTGGATCCTCGGTCTCCCTCTCTCTCTGCCCCTCCCCGACTGGTTCTCTCTCTCCCTGTCTCTCTGTCTCTCTGTTTCTTCCAATAAACTTTAGAAAAAAGAAAAAGAAAAAAGGAAAAGGTATTTTAACTGACTGTATAGTGTTTCTCAGAAAACCTTTATTGAAGCATAAAAAGTGAATTTCTACAGCACCAATAGTGAAAGGTGCCTTATGACTTAAGACGATCTAAAAATCAGAACAGAGACTATAGGGTTTCCAAAAGTAACCAAAGAGAGGACTCTCCAGGACTTCCACCCCCAGTCACATGGACCAAAAGTATGAGTTTCTTTATATTAATGTTACTTGATAAAGTCTGACAATTCCATAAGCCAGCAGCCTTCCCATACTATTAACCCTGCAGAGCCAGGTCTGCAATAAAAGAACAGTTAAGAATCAGAAATGCTGGAAAGGAGCAAAGCAGAAGTCCAAAGAGAAAAAAAAAAAGAAAACCAACCTTTTCTCTGCCTCCCAGAAAGTTCATCCACTGTGAGATAGGGGGGTGGGTCCTCCACATCAGGCTTCTCTTGAGGATCTAAAGCACTTCTTAAAAAATGCTGAAAAGTCGGGCCAGCAGCCAGCCTAGAGCTGAAATCCTTCCGAACTCCATTTTCCTGCTGCCTCTCTGGACCGGGACATGTGGTGCCGTGGACACTACTCTGTGCCCTGCAGGTCCTGAGCAGCAGCCAGGACACAGAAGCCCAGGGGCCCCTTCTCTGTGCTTGCAGGACACACTGTAAAGGATGCATGGCACTAAACCAACAGCCAAAGTCTGCAAAAGAAGAACAGGTATCACCAATGTTTACTAACACGACATACAGGGCAACGCTATAAGCACTTCCAGTGTATTAATACATTTAATACACAAAAACCCAAGAAGATACTCTTAATATTATCCCTATTTTACAGGTTAAAAACAAAAAACAAACAAACAAAAAAAAAAACTGGGGCAACTTACCCAAGATCACACAAAGGGGTGCCAGAGATAAGATACAAATCCAGGCAATTTTCAAAACAAAAGGGTGGTAGAGAGATGAGATGGTGTGACAAAATAACAAAGTAGCACCTTGTGCTAGGAACAGTTTCAAGGGCTTTCCATGTAATAATGCATTAAATCTTCACAGCAATCCTTGGCAAAATAGACAGTAGACACCACTGTTACCCCATTCAGAGATGAGGAAACAGACATAGAGAGGCTAAGGAACTTACCTAAGCTCCACCTAAGCAACAGAGCCAGGACTCAAATGAAGGTCTATAGGACTACAAAGCCAGCGCTCCTAGCCACCTTGCTACAATGCCTGTTTCTATGAAAACCACTGTCTGAAGGCATCTTCCTTTGAGTTCCTTCAAATGGTAAGTATCTAACATGAGGCACCACGTCTGATCAGTGACTCCTCCCACCCTCCAAGAATCTCAAATTGCTGCCTTCAAAGTTCCTACCCAGGCCCTCTCACACACAGCTGGGGGAATGGAATATTGCAAATCTTTATACAGGATGATTTGCCACTTTCCATGAAAATTACACAAACACTTTGACCAAGCAGTTCCATTCCTAGATATTTATCCTACAGATGCAGTTCCATTCCTAGATATTTATCCTACAGATACAGTCTTACATATACAAAATGCCCCATGTATAAAGATATTCGATGCAGCAGTGTTTCTAATAGCAAAGGAATGGAAAAGATCTAAATGCCATCAAAAGGGAACTAGTTAAATAAGACATGGTACATCCTTACAATGGAATAAAATGCAACTGTTGGAAAGTAAGGCTGAATCTATACATGACAAAAACAAGGAAGCACAGTGTTCAACAGTACCTATAATATGTTGTACTTTAATCTGTGGGGGAAGGAAGGCAAGAATATTAAGGTACACACTTAAAAATGAACATAGTATCTACAGAATGCATAAGAAACAGTGGTTGCGGGCACCTGGGTGGCTCAGTTGGTTGAGTGTCCAACTTCGGCTCAGGTCATGATCTCACTGTCCGTGAGTTTGAGCCCTGGGTCAGGCTCTGTGCTGACAGCTCAGAGCGTGGAGCCTGCTTTGGATTCTGTGTCTCCCTCTCTCTCTCTGTCCCTCCCCCATTCGCTCTCTTTCCTTCAAAAATAAATAAACATTAAAAAAAAAATTTTTTTTTTTTAAAGAAACAGTGGATGCCTCCCAGGAAGTAACCTAGATGACTCAAAGTATGAGATGGAGACATTCTTTCTACCACATGTCCTTAACAGACTTCAGACCCCTTCAGGGTCTCCAGCCTGACTGCCTCACTCCAGTCATACCAGACATTTCTGTACTGATCTTCCCTAGCTTCTAGGCTTTTATACACACTGTTCTCTCTGCCCAGTATATCTTCTATATACTTACTGAGCCAACTCCTATGCTTTTAGATCTGTTTCCTCCTAGAAGCCTGTATCCTCAAAGTCTAGGCTGGGGTCCTCCTCTGGGTTCCCGAAGCCTCCTTCTATTCTCTATCTCAAGACTCATCACACTCTGCTGTTAATTACTACTTACACTTCTGCCATCCCTTACAGGCAGACAGGTTCCTAAAAGCAGGGAACAAATCTCATTCATTTCTACATTCTCAGCATCTCCCATTCAGTAACTGACTCCTGGCAGGAGCCGTACGTGTAAAATGAGATGTGGCCGATGACCTCTCTCACTTGATCACCTGCCATATAGGCTACCCGCACTTTAGGCAGGAGCAATGCTAAGCTACATTCAAGTATCAGAGAACAGCAGTCTTTTAGAGAGAGCTTTAAAATCACTCTTTTCTGCCCCTTACTTGTTGTGTGACCTTGGGCAAGTCAAATTCCCATCTCTGAGCTGCCAATTCCACATCTGTAAAATAAGGATTAAAAGCAGTACCTGTGTCCCAGAGGTGTTGTGACAATTAAAGAAATATTAAAAACCCAACTTGGCTTACAGTAAGTCTTCAATAACTGCACATTTGCAGCCCACACTCCCTTTCCTGGGAGGTACAGAGCAATACAGTTAAGAGCATGAGCTCTGGAGTCGTAGTCTGACCCACATGCTGCCTAGCCAGGTAACCTTGGGCACCTGGGGTGCTTCTTAAACTCGAGGGCTTCCGTTTCTTAATAGTACCCATCTCTTCGAATGCTAGGGGGAATCAAATGTGATAACGCAAGCAAAATGTCTGCAGAACACAATGTAGGGGCTGGGGGGGAGGGGCTCAAAAACTGGTAGTCGCCAATAACGTTAAGACGGCAACCTCACTTCAACAAAAGTGAACATAAACGATAAACATCCCAAACATTTTCTTGGGTGGTTACCAGGCTTCAGGCGCGGTGCTTAGCCCTTCCCATGGATTACAGTATTTAATCCTCACAGCAGCAGCGTAGAGCAGGTTCTATCATCCCCGCTTCACAGGTGAAGAGGCTAACGCTTGAGGGCAAGGACGGGTGACTTGCCCAAGGCGAGCAGGCAGCGGAGCTGGGGCGCGAACCCCGACAGACTGACTCCAGGGCCCGCGCCATCTCCCTTTGAACGCCGCGCACCTGCGGGGCCCCGCCGCCCTCCTGCCCCAAGCACGGGCCACCTCCGCCGCCCCGGCCGCTCACCTCCCGCAGCCCGAAAACCCAGCACCCGGCAACAGGAGCTCCCCTCAGGCGGCCTGGACCCCCACCTCCGCCTTCCGCCGCCGCGGAGCGCGCGCACAAGCGACTTCCGGTCCGCCTCGGCTTCTGTCCCTGACGGTGCACCGGAAGCGCCTCCTCCTGTGCCGGCCGGGTGGCTCCCGGCTCCCGGTTCCCAGCTCCCCACACCCCCGCCCCCCGCCTTGGGGAACCGCTGCGGTGCTGACCTGTCTGGTCGCCCCTAGTTGGCCTGCGGTAACCCAGCGCTTGGAATGGAGTGAGTGCGAGTTAATGTGCCCTAAATGTAAAATATACACCGGAGGGGCGCCTGGGTGGCTCTCTGGGTTAAACATCCGACCCTTGATTTTGGCTCAGGTCACGATCTCTCTATGGATGAGATGGAGCTCGGCATGGGGCTCTGCGCTGTCATAGCCTCTGTTTGGGATTCTCTCTGTCTCTCTCTCTGCCCCCCCCCACCCCTTAAAATAAATAAACTTTTTTTAAAAAAATACACAGCGGGTGTGGAAGAAAGACTGCAAAATATCAACCATTTTTATGTTGATTACTTGTTAAAATAATATTTGGGATATACTGGGCTAAATAAACATAATTTAAATTGTTTCTTTTTACTTTTTTAAGTTTATTTATTTATTTTGGGGGAGAGAGGGAGAGACAGAATACCAAGCAGTCTCCGCGCTGTTAGCGCAGACCCCACGCAGTCCTCAATCTCAGGAACTGTGAGATCATGACTTGACCTGAGACAGTCTGGCCTTTAACCGGCTGAACCACCCAGGCGCCCCTCTTTTTACTTTTTTACTGTGGCTCCTGGGAAGTTTTAAATTGTATATTGGCTCAGTCCGTTAAGCGACTAACCTCCGCGCAGGTCATGATCTCATGGTTTGTGGGTTCGCTGCTGTCAGTGCAGAACCCGCTTCAGATCCTCTGTCCCCGTCTGTCTGCCCCTCCTCCCCCTCCTCCCTCTCTCTCTCTCTCTCTCTCTCTCTCTCTCCCTCTCTCCCACTCCCTCTTTCTCTCAAAAATAAATAAATAGTTGAGCCTCCAACTTACACTTAGGTCGTGATCTCACAGTTTGTGAGTTCAAGCCCCACATCAGGCACGCTGCCATCAGCCTGTCAGGGCACAGCCCACTTCAGATCCTCTGTCCCCTCTGTCTGCCCCTCTCCCACTTGCACTCTCCCCCAAAATTAATATTTTTAAAAAATAATAAATGTTTAAAGAATAATTTGTATACGTGGCCCACATACTCTTTCTATTGGACAGCGCTGTGCTAGAGGTTAAAGACTTCCCATTGCCATTCCAGCCTGAACCCCCATCCTGAGAGGGTGGTTACAGATCCATAGTTCGGCTGCCTACAGGGACATGTCCTCTTGGGTGTCTAATGACCAACTCTACCTTAATACAGAACTCTTCATTTCCACACTCACATCCTCACCCAAAACCTGTTCCTTGCCAGGGTAACCCATCTCAGTACATGACCCAACCATCCTCCCAGTTGCACTAGGAGAAATTGAAATGGGCCATTTTTGTTTCCTCTCCCTCAACCTCCAGATTCAATCCGTCAGCAAGTCCTGCCAGCTCTAACTCAAAAATGTCTCAGGGCACCTGGGTGGCTCAGTGGGTTGGGTGTCTGACTTTGGCTCAGGTCATGATCTCACTGTTTGTGAGTTCCAGCCCCACATCAGGCTTTGTGCTGACAGCTCAGAGCCTGGAACCTGCTTCGGATTCTGTGTCTGCCTCACTTTCTTCTCCTCCCCTGCTCGTACTCTCTCACTCTCAAAAATAAATAAACATTTTAAAAATGTCTAAAATTTACCCACTTCCTGTGCTACAACTCTAGCCCAGGCCACCAACGTCTCATCAGAAACTACTGCAATAGCCAGCAAAGTTTCCTTGCTTCTGCCCTTGCCTTTGTCGCCTACAGACTATTTCCCATACCGAGCCTAACAGAATTTGTTTGTTTGTTTGTGTTTTATTGGCTAAGATCATGCCATTCCTCTGCTGAAAACTCTGGGTGGCTTGTCATTGCCATTGCAATAAAATCCAGATTTCCTACCATGTCCTAGGGCCTGCATGATCTGGCCTCTGCTTACTTTTACTTCCCCAACTTACTTCTAACATGTTCTCTCTAGTTGACTACACCTCAACTCTGTAACTTTATTTTGCTCCTTTCAATAAATACTCCAAGCACATGTTTATGTCAGAGTCTACTTAACAATTATCTTTCTGGAATGCTTTTTCCCAAAATTGTTTCTTGGCTTTTCCCTTCTCATTCTTCAGGTCTCACCTTAAATATCAGCTCTTCAGAGAGGCCCTCCCTGACCACTCCATATAACCTGCTCCCATCACTATCCCATCATTTTCTTCACGGTACTTGTCACTATCCAAAATGATGGCATTATTTATTTACTTGCCATTACCTGAGAGCAGGGATACATTCCGTCTTGTCCGTTGCAACATCCCCAAGATCTAGCAGAGAGTCTAACTCATGGAAGAGCTTAATAAATAGTTGTTAAATGAATAAATGATTGCGTTGTGTTTTAGTCTGGGTTCTCCAAAAACAGACCCTGAGACAAGGATTTGAATGCAGGTAGGAGGTCTCAGGAAACATTGACAGGGTAGTCAGGGAAGGAGACAGGGTAGGGGAGATGGCCAATAAAGAATGTTACCATGGTGGCCATCTGGGGTTTAATTCTGTTGGGGAGTTCTGGGAAACCGTGTAGCACACATACCTCAGAATTATTACACCCAAGAGGAGAGGAAGCTAGACTAGTTATATGCCAGCAGTCATGGTAGAAAGATGCTCCTATGTATATTAGTTCCTCAGCACTTCAGCTCTGTCTGGGCAGGGAGATCTGTGGTTTGGAAGAAAGTCCTGTGTTGATAAGGCACTGGCCCCAACACTCTGAACTGTAAGGCTCTGGGGGCCCTGACAGCCCCCGCTGCAATGACTTCTCTAACTCCTCACTCGAACTCTATGAGGTTATTATTAGCGCACTTTAAGGCAAGAAAAGTGAAAATACAAAAGGTGATCACATGCTGAAGCTCACACAGCTACTGCACAGCAGAACTGGGATCCACCCACAGGCCAGGCTGATCCCAAAATGCTATTCTTACCACTGACTGACTAAGTGAAAGTCAGACTGGCTGGGTTCCCATTGAGGTTCTGACACTTACCATGATAGTCAAGGCCAAGTTAGTCATCCCTGCTGATTCCCAGTTTCTTTGCCTATTAAGTGGCTGCCATGTAGAGAATACACTGCTTTGGGGGTAAGAGGATGAAGAGGCAAATAAGGAGAGCATTTAGGAGGCTGTGGCAGTTGCCCAAAGACTGGAGTCTCGGACCATCGTGCTGTCTTGGGGCGGTGAGGATGATGGAAACAAACCTGGATTTCAGGAGTTTGGGATATACTGGAATTAAGCTCACACTGTCTACTTAGATGACTGCTGGCTACCAATTCAGTCAAAAATACAAAGGCAAACACAGGCTGAAAACCGTATCATGGTTCTTGATTTTGACTGTGGTTCTCCAGATAACCTAGAATGTGATCTGATCATTTGGGGTAACTATCAGTACTATGAAAGTATACCAGAATTCCTGGAAAATGCTTAAACTCTACAGACAAGTCCCTGGATACTCTGGGATCTAAAGACTCCAGTTAGAAAAATATTCAGGTTTACTGTCAAGTTGCAAAGGGAAGATGTCCTGTCCTAATATGGCCATGAAGCAGGGGACACAGGGGCACCGGTGCCACACAGAGCCCCACCATGGTGGCAGCGTCTATATCCCAGTGTGAGTTCTTTTGAGAGAGGAAGCCTTCACACTGCCACGGGTGGACAATGACCCTTATCCTTCCCTGGTGACACCCCCAGCCAAGCCCAGCTTATAATAGTCAAACTTCAGTGAGCATGCAGCCCCAGGAGCATGAAAATAAATGCTTGTGGCTGTGGCCCCTGAGGCTGGGTATTTTTTTCCACAGCATTATTGCAACAAGAGCTGAATTTTAGCATATTCCTTTAGATGAACACCAGCTTCCGTGTCTCTTTGCGAGAGAAACCTCCTGTAAACCCCTAGAGTAGGTCAGGTCCCCACTGGCCCCTCTGTTATTTCCATGTCTGCCCAATCTGAATCACACATTTGATTGTGGGAGATCCTACTGAATTTCTGTTCCCTGTGCATGGGGACCTGTCAGTCTTAACTGCTTAGTCCAACACAATAGCCACCAGCCACACGTGGCTACTGAGCACTTGATATGCAGCTAATTTAATTGTCATAAGCACACTCAAGCAGCCCTATGGTTAGGCCCAGGTGGTGAGGAACTGGGGCTGCCTTCCCACAGCCACATGTGTGAGCAATGTGAGGAATGGGTCCTGTAGTCCCAGTCAAGCTGTCACATGAGTGCAGCCCCAGCCAATACCTTGATTGCAACCTCGTAAAAGCCCCTGAGTCAAGAACATCCCAGCTTAGCCTTTCACATATTCCTGATCCACAGAACCTGAAAAATAATAAACATTCACTGTTCTAAGCTGTTAGATTTGGGGGTCATTTGTCACACAATAACAGATAACAAATAGACTTTCTTTATGGCCCTGTGGTTAAAGTCTGCTCTCCTCCAGAGAAAGGAGTCCCACTCCTGGGTCTGGTCCATCTTGGGACTGTGGGAGCCACCAAAGAGTCCAGAGGCCAAGGCACAAACCACAAACACTAGGCCAGGCTGCCTATGTACTCACAGGCTGTTTATTTATCCAAGAGTAAGGAGGAGAGAGGATGAAGAGAAAAACCAGATGCCCCAAGGTGGTGGAGCTGAGGGGAGAAATGAACAGAAAGGTTCCTCCTCTTTCTCTTGCCATGGACCCCAGGGAACTCCCTTCAGATGAGGCCTCTGAGGGTGGCTTAGGGGCCTCTAGGAGGCCTGGCAGTTGTTGTCTGGGGTCAGGATCCCCACAGGGGCAGGTCCCAGGCTCGGAATGGCTTTTGTGTACACAAAATATCTCTCTGCAAAAGGCACTGATGTGGAGATGATGGGGCACCTGGGAGGCTACCCCATCACAGGCAGGATCCACTGTGTCCTGAGTCTGGGTCCCAGTCCCAAGACTATCCCAGCCTCCCTTAGAAGCTGGGACTCTGCACTCTTGTTCCTTTCCTCTCCCTTCCCTCAGCCCAGTGGTGAGCAGGCAGTCAGCGGAGGGCCAGGTCAGGCCATGTGGTAGATACCCTCTCTTCAGGGCTAGTGCATCCGGTGATCTCTAGGCCAAAAGCCCCAGGCGGGTGACTTTTGCCGAGAGGAAGGAGTGGATGATGAAGACCATGGTTTTGGGGCACGAATGCAGGTCCAGCTGCTGCAGGGTGGATGGAAAGAAGGGTCAGGAGCCCCATCCGGCCTGGCCTCCAGGAGAGCAAAGCCCCCCACGCCCTCTACTCACAATCTCTCCTTCAGCACCCCCAAAGTCCAGGAAAAGGAGGCTGGCACCATCATCTGAGGACATCTGCAGCTTCTCAAAGGGCTGCCGGAGCAGCACAGCTCGGGCCGCACCGGGCTCAGCCGCCCACAGCGTGAAGCCCTTGTCGATGTGCACAGAGAGGGTACAGGGACGGCCATTCCACGTGCAGGCTGCAGGGAGGCATGTGGGCACAGGCACAGCCAGCACCTCAGGGACCATAAGCCCCACCTCCAACCCTCACCAGCAACTCCGAAAATGGGGCTTCAATACCACCAGGGATGGGAAGCTCACTGCCTATTATGTCATCTGTATATTCACCCTGCATGGAGTTGCCCCCACCCTAAAATACAGAAAACGGGCCCTCAGAGAAGCAATACCCCACTTCTAGTCCCACTTTCAGCAACAACAAAAGTGGAACCAGAAAGAAGCACCCGCGTGGCTCAGTCAGCTAAGCATCGGACTTTTGATTTCGGCTCAGGTCATGATCTCATGGTTTGTGGGTTTGAGCCCCATGTCAGGCTCTGTGCTGACACCGTGGGGCCTGCTTGGGATTCTCTCTCTCCTCTCTGCCCCTCCCCCACTTGCGCTTGCTCTCTCTCTCTCTCAAAATAAATAAATAAACTTTAAAAAAAAAGTGGAAAGGGAAAGTTTAAACTCTGCCATGTACAGAAGGCCCATTCCCTCCCTCCCTATAAAGGTATCAGTAGACCCACCAAGCATGGCCCTTGAAGACCTTAGAGACCTGTAGAATTGCCCCATTAAACGTGAATTTCAGGTAAACAATGGATAATTGGGACATACTTATGCTAAAAAGGTGTTTGTTGTTTATCTGAAATTCACATTTAAGTGGTGTCCTATATTTTATTTGGCAACCCTACTCCAGGCACAATCTCTCACAACTTCACCACTGTAATCACAAAGCCAGGGCAAGAAAACCCAGGGAAAAGGGTCTCACTACCCACCGGGGCACCTGCACAGCCAAAAAAAAGAGAGTGTGGAGACCCCAAACCCCACTTTATATGCCCCTCCTGAAGCACCTGAAGAAGAAAGGTTGAATGCCTCTGGGGGTAAGAGGCTCATTACCAGAGAGGCACTCCCAGATCCACCCAGCCCACCTGTAGACACCTCCTGCACACCCTCGGCAGCCCGGTGACAGCCATCCACCAGTTGGCGGGTCCAGGCAGCCAGCTCCTGTGGTGACTCCACGCTGAACAGGTGAGTGTCCACACCGTGACGTGTGCCCGTGCGCAAGGCAAAAGAGAGCTCTGCATCATAGGGCACCGAACCCTTGGAGGGGCCTGAGTGCACCAGCCTAGGGGCAGGGGGCAGAGGGCTAAGTATAAGGCCTCAGACAGTCAGGAAATAGTTCTGGGCCAAGGGGGTGGTGACCTGGGAAGGGACCTGTGACTCCTTTACCATATAATCAGGGAACAGGACTTCCAGAAGGGCCCCGATTGACTCACAAGAGCCCACCTCTTGCCACCCTCCCCCTTGATCCCTCTGCTCCAGCCATACTAGTGTCTTCAGACACACCCAGCACATTCTTGCCTCAGCACTTCTGCATATGCTGTTCCCTCCATCAAGTACACTCTTCCCCGATTATCTGCACGACTCACTCCCTCACTTCTTTCAGATCTTTGTTCAAATGTTGTCTCCTCTGAGAAGCCCTCCCTAAACTTCCTGTCTAAAATAGTACCCCTGGCACTCACTACCCTTACTTTTCATCATGATACCAGAAATTATACTTATTCTTTATTTGTTTCCATTGGTTTTTGATTGTCTCTTTCACTAGAATATCTTCTAGGATAAGAATTTTTGTCTTATTTGTTCACCACTCTATTTTCAGCAATTAAACCAATGCTGAGCATATAGTAGATCTTAAATAAACTCTTGTGACCTGAATTCATGAGTCACTTGATTAGTTTGGCAATCCATGACCTGCTTGTCCTTGGCAGACAGGCAGCTCCTAACACATAGGCCAGAGCCCCACCCAGAGGAAAAGGCATGAGCAGCAAGGGCCTGGGCCTTCAGTTTCATTCCCATTTGCTGTGTAACCTTGGGCAGCTTACTGCCCCTCTCTGGGCAACAGCCTCAGAGTTCTGGCCCTTAGCCCTCTTCAGTTCCTCATTCCACACACACTCTCTCTTGTAGCTTCAGCTCCCCCCAGAGCTGCTGCTGACACCCAGTTTTCCATTTTCCAGCCCAGAACTACAAACCCACAAGTCCCCAAGATTCCTATCTAAGCCCCTCTCTGTCCCCAACACACTGGAGCATCTTGCTCCAGCCTCCCCGCTTTGCACTCTCACCCCTAGTCCCACTGCCCACCGGACCCCAACTCCAACACCCCCCCCATTCATCCATTCATCCTGTCCACCTCCCTCACCCTCCCCATCTGGCAAACACTAAGCCCAGTTAATTTTACCACCCGTGTGTCTTCCAATGCAAATGCGGCCTTTCTTCTCCATCTGCTGCCTCCACCCACCTCCACCATCTCTCCTGCATGACTGCACCAGCCTCCCAGCTTCCATCCTGCCCCCTCCACTGAATTTTCCACATGGCAACCACAGAGAGTCTTCTAAAACACAACCCAAGTCACCTCACTCCCAGGCTAAAACCCTTCCACTCGGCCACAACTCTTAAGATAGAACTAGCATTCCTTAACCAGGGACTAGAGGTTCTGTAAGATCAGGCCCTGACAACTCTCTGTTTCATTTCTCTCCATTTCTTGTACAGATTCTACATACTGGCTATAGCACACTCAAAGATCTATGAACATGCACCAGCCCTTAATACTTCTGTACTTTTGACCGTGTTGTTCTGTGTGAGATGACCTTCCACTCTTTCTTAAAGAGCAAACTTCTATTCAACCATCAAAGTCCAGCTCAATATCACCTCCAGCTAAAGCCTTCCCCATCAGGCCAGGCAGAGTTAAGTGGTTCCTTCACCTCCACGCTTGAAGGCTGTCAGCCTCCCCCACCAGACTGGATACTCCCTGAGGGCAGACTGTTGGGATCAGCTCCCTGTCCCCTGAACTATGCTCCACTAGGTTGGGCAGAGTAGGTGTCAATCAGTGAGTGACTGGTGGGACCTCACATCCTTCTGTTGCAAACCGCCATCTTACAGATGAAGAAACTGAGGCCCAGACAAGATAGAGGTTTGCTTCAGGTCACGTGGGAAATAACTCAGGGCAGAGTGGGGCTGGGGTCCCCCACCTCTGAGGCCCATCGAGAGCATCATCCCCCAACCTCTGGGTGAGACATACACCCCTGCCTGCCCATGGATACCTGGTGGCAATGAGTGGGGCAGTACGGGCTGGCTGGCTCAGAGCCTCCCGGGTCTGGGGTAGATGGCAGTAGAGAAGCAGCTCCTTCTCGGTCAGCAAGGCCAGGGTAGGTGCCGTGCCCCCACCGGGCAGCTGCAGGGGGCAAGGCAACAGTGAGGTGGGGCGGGGAGGGGAGAGGTCAGAGGGCCAGGGTGGAGTGAGATGATAAATGGGAATGGGGTTAGCTCCAGGGGAGGGGATAGGGGTAGCGGACAGATGCCTGGCCCAGCAGGCACCTGCTCAGTCAGCCAGCCGATCTGCTTGATGTCCTGGCTCCCAGCTGTGCTGGTGGCTGCCAGCAGTGCCTGCAGCTCGTCCTTGACCCAAGGCATCAGAGCGTTGACTTGGGCCTGGATGGCAGCTGCCCACGACTTTGCGCTAGCCTCATCCTTGGCCCTCAGGAAGAGGGTGTCTTGGCCATCTGCTGAACAGATCTCCAAATACCTGCAGGCACAAATAGAATGGAGGGGAGGACAAGTCCATTAGGCTGCAGCTGCCCAACCTTGAAATCTGGCCCGAAACCCCATTCACTGCAAGACCAGGAGAAACCACAGGGTGTCCACGAGACAGTCGGGAGCGATACTCACTGCTGGGGCTCCAGCCCAAACTGGGGCTTCATGGGGTCTAGGGACAAGAGACTACGACATACATACACAGAACCATATACATACGAATTAAACACATACTCAAACATGTGTGATAGGAGCCAAAATCACTGTGTGAGGATTCGTGATCTTACTCTTTTCTCCTGGTTTCTAAGGAGAAGGATTCTCCTGCTAGACCAGCTCCCAGCTCCCAGCTTTTCCTTTGTGGCACAGGACCAAAGTGATATACTGCAAGGGGGGCGGGGAGCACAGAACCTGGAGAGGCTTGAGAGGCCAAGTCAGTCTACACAGAAAGAGCTAGAGCTGGAGGAGTGAAGGAGGAAGAAGGGAGGAGGGATTGTGGACAAATGTGGGGGACGAGTTTCAGGGAGGTACCAAGAGGACTAGTGACAGGGAAAGGATTTTAAAATGTTATGTGGAATATTAAAGATTCGCTCCTCTTTGGCCTTTCTGTAACAGATGAAGCAGGGCAGAATCTAAAAGATGGCTCACACAATACCCAACCCCCTTCACCTTTGCCTCCCTCCACTGCAGAGCGAGGAAGCAAGATACTTGAATTCCCACCTCCCTTGCAACCAGGGCTGGCCAGGGGACCCAGGTCTGACCATGAGATACAGCCAGAAGTCTCTGGGGAGGGTGCCCCCTCCCAAGGGAAGGTAAAGCTTCCCTAGATGTGGTGGTTACTCTCCAAAGATGGCCTCCACCAAATCCATCCCTCTCTGAACATCCAGTCCACTTTTCTCATCAAGAGGTGAAGCTTATTTCTCTTCTCCTTGACCTTGTAACTTGGTTTGACAAATACAATGTGGCAGAAGTGACATTCTGGCATTCCTGAGCCACCACGAAATCCAAGTACCCAGGGACCAACTACCCAGATAGAACAAGCAAGGCATGTGGAAAGGACTTCTGGAAAGAGGAATGCTCAGCCAGCCCCTAGCTGTTCCAACCGTTCCAGCTGAGGCAGCAGACATGGGGGCAAAGCGGCCATCTTGTACTTCCAGCCCCAGCAGGTGCCACATAGAGCGGAAGAACTGGCCAGCCGAGCCAGCCCGGGTTACAGAATTGTAAGAAATAATAAACTGCTATCTTCTAAGCCACTCAATTTTCGGATTGTCTGTTATGCAGCAAAAGAACAAAATGCAAGGAGAAAATTTCCTTTGCCTTTTGCCTTCTTCCCATCTGGAACATGGGTACATGTTTGGGCATGCAGCCACCATTCTGCCTCCAAGAAGAAAATACACAATAAAAATGGCAGAGGAAGAAGCTGGAAGGCTGGTTCCTCAAAGGCATTCTTGACCCATGTTTCTTAAACATGTGGAAAAATAAATCCCTCATTTATTTAAGTCATTGCAGATTCGCATTTCTGATACTTGTAGCCCGACATAATCCTAAAACTTAGTAAAAGCTTGAAATATTTTTCATTTTTATTTTGGTTACCAGATTGTGTTCCTTTGACTGGAACATTGTGCCAATATGGAACCACAGTTATATTCATGTTACACACGTTACATATGTGCACATGGTCGAGCACGTGTGCATGCATGCACATACACATATGAATATTAACACAAACATGCACCAACACGTATGCACAAATCTACACCCATAGCCATGCAAATGCGTACATATATACACAAAGTTTTTGCGTTTACACGTCAACTACATGTGCACACACAGAAATGTGTGATATCTGGGATCAGGCTGGAAACCACGATTAACCTAATCATGTAAGTAAGTCTCAGGAAGGACTAATACCACCTTACCTTCACTCAATACAAAAGGCCCCTTTGGTGGAACACCTTAAGTGACCTGTGAATCACCAGTTCTTGCTTCATGGGGGCAGTCTGGGGCTGGGGCATCGAGTAGTGCTAAAAGATTTGGAGCTGAACCTCCAGGTCAATGTTGGGCATCTGCCTGGCCTTGACCCCGGCTGTAACTAGGACCCACAGCACAAGCCTTTTATGCTCATGCCATATACACACTACCCCCAATACTGCATACCCCACTTGATCAACATATATTCCATTCACCCACCACCATCACTCAGGCACCTACAATTTCTAAAGCAGAGAGGGCTACCTGGAATGAGGCAAGTTCCATCCCTTCCTGGTTGTGTGATCTTGGGCAGGTTACTTCCTCTCTCTGTTCTCATCTACAAAATGGGGGTGAAATAATAGGACTTTGCTCATAGGGTCGCTGTGAGAGTTGAATTAAAATGTGCATGGTAAACACTCAATATTGTTGGTTGTTACCAATCTTACCATCAGTGACCTGTTAAGGGCTGCTCATATGTGAAGGATGGTATTTTCCATGGCCCTGACACGAATGTTACTAGACATCTAAGAACCTCAGCAGAGTTAGAAGAGACTTGAAGGGACCACTAGGTCTGAAAACTTTATTTCCCAGTGAGGAAGCTACAGGTCAGTGAGGAAGCTACAGGTCAGTGAGGAAAAGGGACTAGTCCACGGAGAACCAGGACTGGAGCCCAGGGTTCTTCCGCAGACCAAGCTCCTTCTCAGATGTGAACTGCTCAGAGGAAGAAGAGAGAAGCAAAGCATACCATCATCCCCTTAACTTCACTCTTACATCCATTCAACAAACATTTCTCAAGCCCCACTATGTTCGGACTTTGTACTGCCCACTTGCAACACAGGGCTATCTTTCCCTTGGCCCCACCACTTAACACCAAGGCGTATCCGTCTGAGCTGCTCCCCACCCCAGATTTACCTGGGCTCCGGGTCAGTGGGGGTGCACCTCCTCGAGACATATGCCATCTTCAAGGATATGTGTTTGGCATCACTGATGTCCCGGGGTGGGGGGCCAGGGGAAGACAGCTGTCGCTGAAGGGGTGAAGCAGGAGGCGAGTCCCAGCCAACCGAAGTCCCGCCGGCAGAGTTCTTGAAATACGGTGAGACCTCTTTCATGTACTTGACTGGTCAGAGCACAGGTCAGTAGTTACTGTTGTGACATGGGCTCCCGTGTGGCACACATCACAATTGTCAGTAATTCATAAGGGTTTAATTTATGTCCAATATCACTATCCTTCTCTAGGCCAAAGTCTCTGACAGAGCAGTGTGGTAGAAAATACTGGATGCATGCCAACATCCAAGCTCTCATGTTTCCCCTGGTTTATAGATCCATGCCACCTGGAAGAAAGACCACAGCTCCCAGCCTCCTTTGCAGTTAGGTGTGGCCATGTGACTAAATCTAACCAAGTAAGCAGAAGCGTTTGGATTTTGGGGATGACTGCCTAAAGGGAATGGACAACAGCTACAACAAGGCAGTGAAAGAGCACTGAACAGGAGTCAGGAGATGTGACTGCTCTGCCACAGGCTCCTTGTTTGCTTCTATTGCTTCAGCCTGCTCATCTGCAAAGAGGAAGCATTGAATGAGATAGTCCTGTGGGACAGGCTGGCAATTGTCATCCGATATAGCAATAGCCTCCCAGCTTAAGACTTCATTTTCCAGGCTCCTTTATAGCTATACGTGCTTATGTGGTCTAGTCTGGCCAATAGAATGAGAGCAGAAGGGATGTGTGCCGCTACCACATTCTGCCTATTAAAGAAAGGGGCATACCCTTCCTTTCCTCCTCTTTTCCCCTGACAGAGGTGAGCTAGCTGGGACACAGACTGGTGAAGCACCATCTTGACCATGAGGACATGAGCCACAGTCTAAGGGAGGCTGACCACAAAACAGAAACAAATGGATGCTGGCCCTTGGAGATGCCATGTCAGACTTGGACTGTTACCTAAGAAACATAGCATAAGAAACAAGCAGCATAACTTGTACCCTAACCAATATAGGTGCTCTTAGCTCTGACCAAACATCATTGAGTAAGTATAGTAGACACCTTCTAAAATAGCATCGTCCAGGGGTGCCTGGGTGGCTCAGTCGGTTAAGCGGCCAACTTTGGCTCAGGTCATGATCTCACGGTCCGTGAGTTCGAGCCCCGTGTTGGACTCTGTGCTGACAGCTCAGAGCCTGGAGCCTGTTTCAGATTCTGTGTCTCCCTCTCTCTGACCCTCCCCTGTTCATGCTCTGTCTCTCTCCATCTCAAAAATAAATAAACGTTAAAAAAAAAATTTAAATAGCATCGTCCAACAGATTTTTCTGTGATTATGTTAATGTTCCATATATACACTGTCCAATACAGTAGCCACTAGCCACATGTGGCTATTGAGCACTTGAAATGTGGCTAGTACAGGCGAGGAACTAAATTTTTACTTTTATTTAATCTTAGTTTAAAATTAAATTCGAATAGCCATTTGGAACTAATGGTGGCCACACTGGACAGCAGAGTTCTAGGATAACAGCTTTGATCTACTTCTCTGCCCAACGAACCCAGAAATTCACATTCGGATATGTGATCCTGCCCTTCTGGATATGCTATCTGGACCAGAGTGAACACCTGACCCACACTAGTATACCCAAATTGACAGTAGGAGAGATCCTCAGCTGGTATCTTGAACAAACTTGAACGCTATGGGGACAACGACCTTCTGCTGTGAAGAGGAGAAAGCTGGTTTATAAGAGAGAAAATTAGTGGAGATGCATGTTGAGAGACAGAGGGAAGGCCCTGCCAATCACCGGTTAACGCTCTTGTTTCTGATACTCGTCCTTTAGAATGTCAAACTGCCATCCCAACAGGAGTTGTGATATTTGCAACCAAAAGAGTCTTCACTGGGGCCTCGACCAATGCCTTTTTAGAAAAGGCAGATCTCACTAACAATGCAGCTACAAGTGAAAGGCAACATGATGAGAAGGTTGATCTAAGAAGAGCCTGTGGGAGTACAGATTCAGAAACAAGTCAGTTTTCTTGAATACCTACCATGTGCCAGGTATTGGACTGGCCCTAGGTAGGACTGGAATGGTAAACATATGCACTTGCGCTACCCTTTCTTTGTCCCTTGCTCATGGAAGACACCATAAATCAATCATAGTGCTTTATGGCAGCCATTACCAATCCATCAAGGCTAATTGGTAATAAATATTTTGGTCATTCTTGTTATATTTATTAGATGAGTTGGGCTGCAAATAATAGAATATATGATAAAAGTGCCTTAAGAAATAAAGATATTTATAATTTCACATAACAAGAAATCTAGGGGCACTTGGCTGGCTCAGTTGGTAGAACATGCAACTCTTGATCTCAGGGTTGTGAGTTCAAGCCCCATGTTGGGTGTGGAGTCTACTAAAATACAAATAATTAAAAATTAAATAAAATGCTATTAAAAAAAATCTAGAGGAAGGCAATCTAGGATTGGTTCAGTGACTCAATTAAATTGAAAGCAAGGTAGACCTCTGTGCCATTCTCTTGGCCTTCCCCTCATGACCACAAGATGGCTGCCACAGCTCAAGCCAATCATTCCTTACATGACAAAACCCAAAGCAGGAAGGGAGAAGACAGGCAGTAAAAGGTTTTCTCCTCACAATTCCCTTATCAGAGAGGTAAATATTCCCATGAAGCCTTTTATCTCATTGGCCTGACTGGGCTCCATGCCCACTTCTAGCACAATCATTAGTAAAAAGGGAATAGTCATGACTTAGACCAATCACAATTCAGCCTCAGGAGCTGAGCATATTTCCACCCAATAAAATCAGGCTTCTATTAGCAAGGAAGAAGGGGAAATAGTTGGTAGATTTGCCCTAGTATCTGGACTGTTCCAAATTTTTTTAAGTTTATTTATTTATTTTGAGAGAGAGACACCAAGCAGGGGAGGGGCAGAGAGAGAAGGAGAGAGAATCCCAAGCAGGCTCCACACTGTCAGCACAGAGCCTGATGTGGGGCCTGAACCCACAAACCATGAGACCAAGACCTAAGCCAAAACCAAGAGTCGGCCACTCAAC